TTTTGTTATCGATGTAAACATCGCTTCATCGTAAACAACAACAACAACAACAGCAACAAACAACAACAACAGAAACATTAAAGCGATAATTTCAGAATGATATTAGAAAGAATGAATTTATTTGAATTCAAAAAGTAATAAGTAAAATAACAGTTCATATGTTGTAATTCTTTCACGTTTTAATAACATGATTACTACAAAACGCGAGTAATTATTTGCATGATTAGGAGCTAAACGTGACGTGAGTTACGTTACGTGATATGTATTATTAGAAGAGAAAAAGTAAACAATTATTGCAATATGATTTATATTTTTAAAATCAATGGAAAATTAATAAATTATAATAGATTTGTTAGTTATTTCATTCGACAATTTCTTTTTTACTGTTTAGATTATCTAAAAGTTAATTTAATTTCTTACGTAGTTTTTATTAACTTATCAATATAAGATCACTTGAAATGATTCCGTTCTGATAGCATCAATAAATGAGTAAACATTAGCATCTAAATTTTCTGACTTTCCAATTTTTGTTTCCACAATTTTTCTCTTCCTTTTTTTTGTTTAGTTAAAATTTGGCCATCATTGACTTCATTTTATCACTGTTACATTATCATATCAGTGGTATCTTATTGCAAAAGAGAAAATAACAAATCCTCATTGGCAAATGGCAGAAATGAACAAAATGATATACAAGAGTTATGTTAATTAAAATTTATCAATCTTAATTCAAATATGATATAATACATTCACATGTTCTATATGGATTTAAATTGATCCCACTGGATTTAAATCTCTAATATATTCATTGGAATATGATCCATTAAAAAAATACAGCTTACATCTTTCGGAAATCCTCAAAAATTTCGATACACCACGAATTTATTACAAAACTATCATACTGAATAATTAAATCATATAAAATGTATTTCTTAAGTATCTGTTCGCTATGTTAGCAATTTGATGAGAATTCAAAAAATAACTAATTGGATTTTGCCTTTAATCAACCCATACTTTACAGCTATTAAAATTTTGTTTATGTAAAGATCGGATATTATTTACATTCTTTTCAAACAAGCAAATAAAAGCAAACGAATAGAAATTTAAAAAAAAAAGTATTCCCAATAAATGAAAGAATTTATGAGAATTAAATTTAAATTTTTGTCGGAAATTAAACTTGCATTAATGATAAACACGACATTATATGTTGAAATTATCAGTTGAAATAGATAAGGAATTCCTCTTAATCTTTAATCAGTAAGGAGATAAGAAGAAAAAAGAAAAGAGAAGAGAAAAGAAGAAGATAAGAGAAAATCAATGAGATTGAAATGATAACCAAATTATTTGGATCAGAATTTGAAACGATTATATCAGCCTTTTAAATCGTATGAGTCATCGCATCCAATTAACTTCAATTTTACATCCTAAAGTAATAATGACAGATGGAAATTCTGGTTAATTACAACTTGCAATTAATCTTTCCAACAATTTTGATTAATTTCAATTTCTAACGAAAATGGACACATAAAATATATTAACGATATTAAAAGATATTTAAATTTTAAATGGGAAAGAGAATATAATTGAAGAGGAAGAGAACATTCATCGTTTATCTTTCTTCTGTATTTCGGCACTTTTTTCAATCAAAAAATCATATACAATTAAAAGAACTTAATTTATATAATTCATTATATGTTAACACTAATTCTAAAATTTGACTTTTATTTTGTTTCATTTTAGGAATATAAAAATGATAAGATAAAGTTATCATAAGAAATCAGTAAAATTTAAAAATTGCCTTTTCGGAACGATCGGAACGATATCGCCGCATACGATGAACAATGAATTTAAATCAAATAATCAACGAATTCAAATCAAATAATCAATGAATTTAAATCAAATAATCAATGAATTCAAATCAGTTTGCTAATTAATTAAACAAAAACAATACTTAAATGAAAATGAAACAAATTAATGATATTTTGTCAAGAAAAATTATTTCAAAAATTTGTCAAATTTCATTAAAAAAACGAGCAAACTATCAATTTTCAACAAATAAATAAAAAATAAACAAAATAATAGGAAATAGAAATTTTTTGCAATTTTGAAAAAATTCGATAAAATTTTAAATCGAATAATTTTCCTTTTGTTGAACTTAGATTTTTACTTAATTATTTATTTTAATTATTTATTTCATTTAATGTAAATGATATTTACGCTTTTGTCAAAAAACATATTCATCGAGCATTTCCAAAGAACTTTCTCCCAGAATTTCTCTCAATAACACATTCATCGAGCATTTCCAAAGAACTTTCTCCCAGAATTTCTCTCAATAACACATTCATCGAGAATTTCTAAAGGACTTTCTCCCAGAATTTCTCTCAATAACACATTCATCGAGAATTTCTAAAGGACTTTCTCCCAGAATTTCTCTCAATAACACATTCATTGAGCACATCCAAAGAACTTCCTCTTAGAATTTCCAAAGGACCTCCTCTCAGAATTTCTCACAATATCACATTCATCGAGAATTTCCAAGGAACTTCCTCTCAGAATTTCTCTCAATACTCAATAAATATCTTTGATGAAAGAATGTATCGGCGCAAAAACAAAAGCCAAAAGTTCGCATAACATAACATATTTATATTCCAATATGACACATTCCTAAAATTTTCTTCATTTCATTGAAATAACTTTAAGAATGAAATGAAATAAAAGAACAATAACTAATAGAAATAAAATTGAAAAAAAAACTATTTGAAATTTAATTTTAACAAATACATATTTATATTAAAAGTAATATATATAAATAATAATAAATGAAAATGAATGAATTGGAATTAAAGTAAAAAAAGCGGTAATATTATAGATAGGAAGGGGTTGATTATGGAAAGTGGACATTGGGCCATTTTTGATGATTGATAAGTGAAAGAAGAGAAGGTCAAAAAAGAAAGGGTTAACATATAGGACTTGGCGGCAGAACATATAATTGTAATGACCTCATCTGCTAATTTTAGTAATAAATAAAGAAGTAATAAGTAAAAAAAGGAAGAATCAACCATCCTTGAGAATAATCCCTTTTGCAGCTTTTTTTCTTGAATGATTAGGCTGACTTTAAGCTATCCATCAGATAATTGTTCTATTACTGTTATTGTTATCATTAACCACAGTTATCGATCACAGTTATCGATGCATATCTAATCAAACAGGCAGTTTTTCCTTCTCAAAAGCAAAACCAACAATCAGTAGTCTTTTCCTTTTTCAAAAAAAGTAAATAAAGGATAAATGCAAAATAAGCTGTCACTATAAAATGTAACTATTAAATTGATTAAGTAAAATAATTTGCACTAAAATTAAGAAGAAATTTTGGAAGTAAAAAAGATTAAAAACTGAAAATTGCTTGAATAAGATGGGAGAAGTGTTGAAAAAGGAAATGGAATTTGAGGTGAGCCTTTAATTTTATTAAGTATTGAAGTGATAATATTTTCTTGAGCTTAAATCTTACAATTCTGTAGTAACAATAGTCCTAAACAATGAGTGTTAATTTGATTATTAGTGATTGATTTAGTGATAAGAAAAATGGAAAGGAAGTACACTTTTTAATGGTATTAAATTTTCTGCGAGAATACGATATTGAAATGACTTCAATTTGAAGAAACATGCAAAATGAAATACGAAGATTTTATTTATAAATTGATTAATTTCACTTTTCAATTATATAGCACACGACGCTTATTTCCTTTTCAACGATCGCGGAATTCCTTTATAAAGATTCTACAATAGAATATATGCTTCCATTTCCTTTCATTTTTAAATATGCTATTTGTGATCTTTTAAGAGCACTTACTATAGGTTATCGATAAAAAAATGAATGTAAGTTGACTATTATCAATTAATCAAAATTTGATCGCAATTTTAGTTTATTAGTAATTATCTATTCTACAATTTATGAGATAAACTTTTTAAAATCTAAAATGCATTGCTTTTTCGGAAAAGCGCTAATTTTGGTTATCTTTCAATCGCATGCTATATGATGTGATAACTTCTGATGAAAAGTTGTATGGTTAATAAGGACAGCTTTAGAATTTGCAACATATTGATAGGACTAATGATCAGAAATTAACATTGTAAACAGCAAACAATGCTTCTTTCAGCATTTGCTAAACCGAAATATGTCCATTCATATTATTCCGGTAAAATGGATTAATGGAAATATATTCATATATTCATTCATTACTAAATATATTCATTACTACATCTAATTACCAATAATTTAACTGAAGTGATTTATTTCTTCATTTTTTTGCTATAATTTAGCAGAAAATATCACATAGGGTTTTTTTGCCTTTATTAATTACTTTATTAATTATACGATAAAAAAGCGTGAATGTAAGTGAATGTGTTAATGAATTAATTAATCATTTCAGAATTAATTTTGCAAAACATTGAAGAATGTTTAATTACTCTTCACTTCTTAACAATATTAGATAATGATAAAACATTATCCAATTTACACAATGAACCTCAGAAATTAACGAAAATCATAAGCGTTCCTTTTTTTGCTTTATTATTTTATTAATTAAATTTTGTATTTTAAAATAAATTAATGTATCATTTTCAGTATTTACTTCAATTACGATGTTTTATACAATGTATCAAATAATCATAAAACTATTATCACAACAAATATTGGCAGATAAATTAGTTTGTTATTAGAAGCAATGAACTTATGAAAGAAAATTTTCATCATTTCATTTATCCATTCATTTAGATTGAAAAACATTACTTAGAAATCAGGACTATTCAGGTAAAAAAATTAATCAGCTATTCTCCATTTAAATTTCCTACAAGTAGCAAATTATACCGAACACTATTTCAATTCTTCGATTAAATCATTTTTGGAAATAGATAGGCCCGAAACTTTTTATTAGGAATGTATTCAGAAATTTTTTATTTGATGATTTATTTCAATAACTGATTCGCATATAATTAATTAACATTTATTAAATGAATCGTCTTAATGCTTTTCTTGATTGATATCTGTTACCTGAATAAGGTGAATAAGATGGAACGATGGTGGAATGTTTGTACAAAATATCAATATTGAGATTTTGCCTCTCACCATATAGAGGAGGAGGAGTTTCCCACTGTGGTGCAATGACTTTTGGTTGTTGACTGTATCCGTTAAATACAGTCATATTTCTTTCTGCATCAACATAGATTGGATTCATGAAAATATTTGATGCGTGTTGTTGGTTCGGTTCCTTGCCAATAAATCTCCTCAATGCAATTTTTTTCTGCGGCAAAATCATCGGTTCCTGACTGTTCTTCCGGATGATTGGCACCAAATGTGTAATAGGCTTTAACCGATGTTGCACACATTGTTTTCTCAACTTAGCTTCCTCAATTTTCCATCCAGGCTTTTTTGAATACGCTAAATTTCCTGTGGATTTATGTGAATCCCGTTTTGAAGTTAAATTACCTCCCACATTTCTCAACAGTTTTCCTGAAGAAATAAACGTATTTTTCGAGTGATTCGTCTTATCATTATTGATTTTGAGTACGTAAGGGTGTTGTGATATGCTACAAGTCTCTTTATGAAAGCTTTGGACTTTTTCCGGATCCATATTTAAAATATCATCAGCCTTTTTTATATTTTCATGAATAGAATGATGTATTGACATCATGTTGGCACTCGTTTCAACCTTTTCACGTATATAATTCACTTTCGGTAATTCGGCGAAAGGTTGATTTTGATTTCTGCTTCTTTCATTACCAGTTGTAAGGTTTTTTAACACAGTAATGCACTGCTTGTTTTGGTACTTCTTGGCATCACATGAATTATCTCTATTATTCATAAATACTTTACTGGAATCATTTCTCGAATATATGAAGTACGGATCCAAATATTCTTTATCCGTAACCAATCCTGAATGTTTCGTAGTCCGTGCTGAAATCTTTTAAATTATCACTTATTTATCAAAATACTTTTGATCTCTTTGATCTAAGAAGATATGATCATCTTAACTGACATCATTTCCTAATCGAAACTTTTACGTTTCAGAAAGGTGAAAGGCTCTCTGAAAACTGTCAAATGTCATAAAAATGTTCTGAGGTATTACATTTTAATTCTTCTAGATATTTCAATCATTTTGATTCAAATTTATAATTTTTGCAAGCCTATAGCATTAAGAATATTATGACATGTAAATATCATTTACCGATTTGGAAATATTTTCCAGATTCCTGACTAAGTTCTTGTTTCACGCAATCATCATTATCGGATATTCTGATGCACTGAATATTTTGGTCTCTATCATTGTTAGAGATATTTTCCGCTTCTCTATTGCTTGTGTTTACAAGCAAATCTGATGTCAAATGCCTCCGTTGACCGCAAGGATCGCATGCTTTCGGCGCTGATGCTTCGACTTCTTCCATGGATTTTGTTAATTTATGCTAAAATGTGATTGTAATGAATCAAGCCAGAATTCCAAACGATTTTAATTTCGAATTTGTTTCTTCGAAAATATTTCAATTATTTCAAACGGATGATAGAACTGTTTCAGAGTTTATGTCAAATTCTTAATAAGCACTGCTTATTTCATGCTTAGGTCAAATCTTACCAACTTAAAATTTTTCTAATAGACAGATAATTAATACAAATAGAAAAGAAAAATAAAAACAGTGTAAACTTCTGAAGAAGCAGTATCGTCCGTTTCTTCATCCTCCAAAATTTCATCTTTATTCAAAAATTTCGACGAATTTTTACGCCAACTGCAAAGAGGTCGTTATATGATGATATACTTAATTAAAAATAATCCAAAATTGCTCTATGAAAAATTGAAAAAACTTTGAGATTGTTATTTTAGTCTTAGCAAATTGTGGTGTTTCAGAAATTTGAAATGAACAAACTTTTCGATTTTATCGAACTTTTTGATCAAATTTATGCTACCAATACTACTGGAAGATGATAATGACAAGTTTTTGGATTGTGATCGATCTTTTGTGTTATTATGCTTTCTTTGTTGCGAAGGTATTGGTATATCCTCGGAATCAGTACATGATAATGATCTGAGTACATGATAATAATGATTTGATAATTTCGAAAATTAAAAGCATCCACAAAATTACGTCGAATATAAAGGTGAGTTTAAAAAGAAAAGAATATTGAAAAGAAAGAATAAAATATTTAGAATTTTTTTTTGAAAGAAAAGTGTGGGAAGAAGTGATAGCAAGAAAAATTCTTGGCTAGAAAGATAGGAAATTGATAAATTAGTTATAAAAGAAAAGTCTTTTTAATAATTTCAGAAATGTTTAGTTTAACCTTTTTAAATACATTTTTTGACATAACTTTAGCCTTATCTGAAAAATTTGAAATTAACAATTTGAAAGTAACAATTTGAAATAGAATTTGAAATTAAGGTTTTGAAAATAAAATTAAATAGAATTTGAATAGAATAATTTGAATAATTAAATAGAGTTTGAAATTAATATTTAAAATTAAAATTCGAAATAGATATTGAAATAAAAGAATTTAAAATTAAAGCTAAAGCTATGTAAGCTAAAATTAAAGCTAAACTAACTAAAAATGTATTTTAAAAGTTTAGCTAAACATTTCTAAAATTATGAAAAAGACATTTTAAAAGATTTCGGTGTATTTTAGAAATCAAAAATGGATAAAATAAAGTGATTTAGTCAAAAGATATAAATTATTTAATTCTAACAATTTTGTTTTGTTTTTTTGAAATATTTTTTTTTCACAATTTAAATAATATTCAAATGAATAATATGAAACTTTTGATAACTATATTTTAAAGGAAGAATAATTTACTTCCATTGTTGTAATGAAATTAAATTTTGTGATACTGAAGGTTTCTCTTGCTGTATATCAGCAAGCTTCATCAATTGCCTGTTTCCATCAGGTGCCGGTAACGATTCAAACCGTTTTCCGGAATTATCCATTGACATTCTGTGAATGAAAGCAATTATTTGAAATGAACAAAAATTTGAAATATTCAATTTGAGGGTAATTTTTTTGGGAAATTTAAATTAAGTAAAAATTATACTCACTGTCTTCGATATGATGGAAATATTTCATTCAGTGTTACATTGGATTGCGTTGCCGATGGTGTCGAAAATACGACATTATTATTTTGAGATGAAAAATGTTGTGTGCCAGTTATTAAGCCTAGAAATTTTAAAATTATATAAATTAATTCCTTAAACTTTTTTCCTTCCAAATTAAAATTTTTTTAAACTAATTAATTTCTTCTTTTTTTTTTAAAAATTTTTCACATATTTTTAGAATTAATTTAAGAAAGAAATAAATTTTCGTGGAAAAACTAAAAAATATTATTGAATGAAAAAAAAAAGAAATAATTAATATAATTATTACTTAGAATAGGTAATTTGCTGCGTAATACATCCAATGCTACTAAATTAACAATCATAAACCAACAAGGAGTTTTTAAAGCACTCATTCCAACATCTTTTACCAATGATATTCGAATACAACTTTTCAATAAAAGTTTCAACGTATTTGGTTTTGATTGTTTTAATTCTTGCTCAATTGACCAATTAAACAGCCGCATATCAAATATCTGTTAAATAGAAGAATAGAATTTACTGAAATAATTGTTTCTCGAATTTATCAATTTGAAATTTGAAGCGCAATAAGTTTGTTAATTTAATTTATAAAGGAAGCAATAAGTCATTTTGCTCGTTCATATATTATATGGTTACGAACAAAAAATCAATTTGCTAAGATTCAAATATTTTAAAAAAAAAAAGCTTACAATACTAATTGTTTGTTAATAAGCTAATTGGATAATGATTGATTAATCAATCAATTCAGCAAAGCAGTTAATCAATCAAATTATCATTTAATCAGTTAACCTTCTATTTGAATAATTTCTTACTGTCTATAAAAATTGCTTTTAAAATTTCTCTAACGATAATAACAATTACTTTCAATTATATTTAATTCTGAGGCACAATTTTCTTTTATTTATGCTGCATTAACAATGAATATTTATTACATATGGAAAATATTTAACTATCAGTGATAAAATGATAACTTTTTCAACTCGTTGTTGATCAGTAATACCCTTAAGGCGATCTTTTATAGTTTTCAGACGACCTTTCTGAGCGATCAATTGTTTGGGAATACATTTAGATGTCGGATCATTCCATCCTTGCACAATTACCGGAGCTAAACCTCGTGCCATAGCTTTAATATTCCCATTTTCATCTATCTTTATAATTACACCCTAAATTACTACTAATTAATTGATTAAAATATAATTAATTAATTGATGTATAATATATTTGTTCGGTTTGATATTATCCGTTATTATTGATAGTATCATATGTAAAATGATTTTTGTTTGAATAAATCGAAAGGGTACGCTTACCATTAAATTATTTTAATTAAAAATATGAATTATTGAAGTTTTCAACAAATTATTCAATTATTGGAAAAATTTTGTGGAAGATTTTTTTGCCAAATAAAATAAAAGAATGAAATGATAATAACAAACATCGCCAATTTTATCCCTAATATCATTGCTATCCTTATCATGATCAAAATTTTCAAAATGATTAAAGCCAAGTGTGATACCATCGTATTCATCGTTACTACCATCGATTATCAATGTCGCCTTCCTAAACTATAATTTCAATTTCTGCTATTTATTATTTCTTTTGTCTGTATAAAATGAGAAGTAAAAAAGGATTAAATTAATTAAAAGAATAACAATTTTAATTAAATTAAGAAATTTTTGAAACACTCAAAAAAATATTTCAAATATTCGAAAAAAGTTAGTTGAAGAGAATAAATTTATCATACTCTTAGGAATAATACTACAAAAAGAAAAATGCCTAACCTAAGATATATTTTCACAAGACGTCTGCATTTTTCCATCAAAATAATTTTACCCCATAAATCATCATCTAAATGACCTTTTTCAAGCTTTTCCAATATTTCAATAACATGTTCCTGAAATTTTTAAAGTAAACAATTTCCTCCTAATTTAATGACAGAATAAAAGAGGATCATATCGTATTAAATAAGAAGAAGGCATTTATTTCCTGCAGCATATTTTCCTCATTCCAGGATATCGCGATAATTAAATCTTTTTAATAAGATTATTTCGCGCAGTATATTTTCAGGACTGAATAAGAAGGCATTTATTTCCTGCAGTATATTTCCCTCATTCCAGGATATCGCGATAATTAAATGATTTTGTTAATAAGATTATTTCAGGCAGTATATTTTCTACATTTCAGGAATATCGCGATAATTAAATCATTTTTTTTAATTTTTCGTTTATTTTCTATCTCTCAAAAAGAATTTCTTTATTAAGTTTTAACCCAAAACTTTCATCATCTTCTGATAACAAATTTTTTGTATACAAAAAAAGTGAACTATTTTCGTGTAACACAAATATCTTTTTGTTTTGAAAATGGACTGACTTTTTCGAACTGCTCCACAGTATACCAACGATCGGCGCTACTGGTACTGTTGTTGGATAAAAGCACTTGTAGTTCACCGACACCATTCGGACCACGACCTACACCAGCCATGCAAGCTATCTCCTTTCGCGATAAACTACATTCATCTCTCATTTTCAAATTCTTCTTCTCTCTCTCTCTTTATTCTTCTCTCTATTCTTTACATTCAAAAGTGGTAAAAGGAATTAATAAACTTCAAAAGACTATTAAATTCAGCAAATAATACTGAGGAATGAAGGATAACATTGTAATATGAATGGATCCGATAGTATAGCATTTATTTAAATTCAAATAATGAAATTTCAATTTAATATGGAATGATTAGTTTCAGATGATTAAAATGAATGAAATAGTTGACGATGTAAGTATGAGAAATATCGGGTAAAGTAATAATGCTTACTTAGTACTTTTCGCTGTTTTGAATGCGAAGTATTCTATCAGGTAGCAATACTTCGATAACAATCTATTAAAATATTGTAGACAGATGAGGTGAAAGAAAAACTACAAATGAATAAAAAGTTAGCAAAATGCTAAAATGAAGAAAAGAAGGAATTTCTTTTTGTATTAATTCTAGTTTTGTTATTGACAGATACAAAGAATGAGTAATATAAAAAAATGTTTAAATCATATTTTCATTTCCATTAAATAAACAATTTTTAAAATTAAATTTCATGTCCAGTTTTTTAAAACTTTTTTCTGAAGCATTCCTTTCCGAAATAATCAATCAAACAAAAGGAAAGCAATTTTTTGAACATTTCATCGTTCAATTCATATTTGTTGTATACCTTAGCAAATAAAGGAAATCCAAAATTTCTGCCACTACTTTTCTCCTCGTTTTTTCATTCCGTTTTTCTTCTTCTTCTCATTCGATTTCAACTTTTCTGCAAAACAGACAGAGATAGTGAAATTTCATAGCTTAATATTAACATTTTCACAGCACTGATACCTTATTTAAAATTAGAACTGAAATTTTGATTGATTAAATGAGGTAGAATAAGTTGAGATGAACAAACAACAACCTTATGATAATCATATTTCTGCTTAATTGATTACAACATTCTGCATGATAATGATTGATAGAATATTTCATATCGAATTTCAACTTATCATTATCATTATAACCTAAGAATTTTATCACTTTGAGTTATCAGAATTATATTAAATATCATTGTGACAAAAAGAAACTTTTATATTACAATTTAATAACTGAAATAGAAATCTCGGATAGATTCAAAAAAAAATCTGAAATTTTCAGCTTTCATTAGACTAATAAACGTTACTAAAAATAACTCACATTATTCATAACTGAAAGTTAATTCAAAAATTTTACTAACATTAACTTTTCGTGCAAATAATTGCATCCATTCAGAATTGATGTATTTGTAATTTTTAAATTTCGCAATAAAAGTTTAACAAGTGCTAAAGCATTTGAACAAATTCCACTTAATTAACTTCATTCAAACTAATTTCTCAGGTGTGCATCACATTTATGCTTAAAAAAATTAGGTAAATTACTCGTTAATAAATTTCGATGAAATTTTGCATTGTAACGGTGTACCTGAAGGGGCTAAAAAAATTTTGCAATTTTATAATTTCCTTTCAAATTAAAAATTTGAAAATTTAAAATCTTCAATAAAAGCAATTAAATACTTGAGCTTAATTTAATTCTACATTAAATTATTTTTATTCTTCGGAAATGTCAAAGGATTTTAGTTACTCTTACTTCTCATTGAAATTTGTTTCAATAAATAGGCATCAATTAATTAATTAATTAATGGTCCAATGAAATATTTATTAAATTTTATTCCATTCAAATTATATTTTCAGAATTTTCAACAATAAAATGCTTTAATCTTTCAGGCTCATTAATTTATTTTTAACATTTATCTGTAAGATACATATCTGAAGTTTATTCTTTAGATTTATAAAATTTTTGATTTTCACTATCTTCGTTTGTTTGATTGCTTCAGTTTAAGAATGTTTATTTATCAAAAGATTTGCAAGCAATTAAATGACAGATAATTTTACATCCGTTTGTTCTTTTGTTTAAAATTTTAAGATAAAGACGAATAGAATAGTAAGCGTTAAATGCAAGTTTATAATTTAAAATTTGCTTGCCACACACATTGAAAAGTTGTGGAAAGAATTAAATGAACTGTTTGTATTAATGAAATATGGTTAATGAATGATAATGGATGATAGTGGATGATATGCTGTAATGATTATCCGAAAGAGTGAGAAAGGACAGCTGATGTGCTCTTAACAGCGGGCAAAATGCAATTGCGCTTGCATTTTACAACACCCGAAATTAATGTTTAGTAAAATTTGCTGAATGGGATATTTGTTGATCTGTGAAATGCTGCTGCCGCGTTGCTTTTCGAACTCTTTTTTCTATTTACATTTCATAATTTATGCTTAATTAATTTTTCAACATTTTTTTAAAATTATTCATTTTAAAAACAATTAAAATTATTTGTCGTAAATAAACATTTTTAGCTTATATAATAAATAGTATTTAAAAAAAAAGGAAAGAAAATATGATTAAATTATGATGTAAATGGGCTTAGGAAGGAAAAATTTTACCTTCCCGCTGTCAATAATTCAATAAGTAATAATTAAAATTTTATTTCTTCTCTTTTATTGACTATTGTTACTTTATGTTCGATAAAATTTCCACCCAATCTTAAATAGTTCTTATTTTTTTTGAAATGTTGCAGCTAATTTTTTACTGAAAAAATATTTATCAAATTCAAATTTAATCTTTATATCTCTTACAACTGGCTGACTGATAGTTTTTTTAAATTCAAAAAGAGATTAGGCAATAAATGCTTATAAAATATATGCCAGCTTTATTTAGCTTATATAAACAATCTTTCACACTGTCTTTGAAGTAATTAAACTTTTCAAAAATTTTTTTCTTTCTTTAAATAATAAATTTCGAATAAAATTAATTCAATTCGTCAAATTCGAATTACTAATTAAAATTGCTATTTCTTCTATTATCTCATTTTCTTGGGTGTAACAAATATATCAAAGAAAGTTTACCGCAATTTAGAAAATTTTCAACTATTTGTAAACATATTAATTGTGAATTTGCAATATCTTTTTTTTAGAATTCGAATATATTATGATAAAATTGTTATTACTAAAATGAAACTTCAACATTTTAGGGATAAGGGCAGAAGGTTTATAACCACACTTTGAAAAGTGAGGGTTGGCATCAATCGCGGATTCATTTGATTGAAAGTAGACGTACTGTTCAAAATGATAGATATATTAGTTAAATTTTCATTTAAATAAGGTAGTAGGAAGTGATACGTTGGATATGTTCAACTGGAATATGCATAAAAAAAATGAATTAAAACCAAATAGATGACAGTTTGAACAAACAAAAAATTTATACACAAAAATTTTCTCATTCTTCTATTTCAAGTTGTGATTATATTTTTGAAAAAGAAAAATTAAAAAGAATTTTAAACAGCAAAAATAATTAATTTCAAGATTTATTAGTTAAAATAAATCATATTATCAAATTTTATTTAATTAATGATAACAAAAAATTTAACCTCTATAAAGGTCATCATCCATCATATGATATGATGAAAAGAATGCGCTCACTGATATTTTATTAAATGAAATGAATCATTTTGTCAACAAAACAGTTCAATTTTCTTTTTTGTTTCAGAACAGTTCATTTCTGAATCATTCTCATATATCGTTTCTCTTAATTAATTATAGGTAAATTTCCTATTAGTTCAACATTTTCCTATTAGTTTTTATTATTTAACATTTTCCTATCAGTTTTCATTGTTGTTAAGTAGATGATATCATACTATTTTAGCCATATAATGGTAATTTAATCGTAAAACAAAAAAATGATTTAATAAAATGTAACTAAAAAAGTTTGAATAGTTTGAATTGAAATAAACATTTCTAGAAATATCAATGAATTTATGTAAAATACGATCATCTCCTATCTGTTAAAATTTTTTTCATTTTTCATCTCTGATTTTTATGTTTACATTATTTAAATATATCTCTGAAATATTTCCTCAAAAATAGCTTAAACGATTAATTTGTTTCTTTTAAGGTATGAAAACATTGATAATACAAAATGACCCTATCATTAATCTTATATACACTATGTCATTGTATCACTGCATCAATATATACTGTATCACTGTATCATCTATCATCAACTTATCGTCGCCACTGATCTTTTGATTATTAAAAATGTGATCTTTTTGAACTATTATAATAAAATCATTCCAATAGAAAAATATTGAAGAAAAATTTCTTAGAAGAAATTTTTGAAATTATATTAGAAAATAAAAATGCTTTACTTGCATTTCCCATTTTATATTTTCCATTCGATTATTTCACTTAGAAAAAATAATAATTAAATGCTAAGTGTTACAAATTAGATCAGCTTGAAAATATATTTCAATGATAATATTTATGAAGTAATAATAGATTGAGTGATATTATCATTGATACGAATAATTAGCTTTCTTGAAATCTTTCTATCATTTCATATTACATCTTGCAAATATTTTTCACTAATCAGTCTGTCAACAATTGCGCCATTTTCTCTCATTCATATCGACAAATAAATTGAATGAAATTACTGGAATAATGTTACATATGATCCATCATTGCTAAAAGCTCTATGAACTAATTAGTTATCATACTATTCGAAATATTTTAAATTGCACTTTCTTTCACTTCTTAGCAGACAGACTGCATTGGCTTTCATTTAATTGAATTGATGAGTTTTTCTGCATTGATTTTAAATTTTAAAAAAGAGCAAAAGTTAAATTACAAATACAATAATTTCGGAAAAAGAAAGGTATTCGTGAGACAAACATATTTTAGTTTTTTCTTCACTTCTAGCGCAATATGTAAGCGCAATGATACCCGTGTACGCCCAATAGTAGCAAATAATGAATGATTCTTATGACTTGTACATCGTTCTATTTTAGTTTAAATTTGTTATGAATTAAATTTAAGACATTTCTCATTACCGCCAGTGCAATACATTTTTTCATTAATACCCGTATCATCATGACCTCTTCTCTCTTGGTAATATTTCCCTAATCGTTTGTAAATAAGATATTCCGGTTCCAATTGACAGATGTTATTTTCCTGAAGAGAGAACTCAAAAGCAAGCATTGTTACTTTTATTTTTTATTTTTAAAAAAATTTCTAGTTCAAATTTCGTTTCATTTCATAATTAGTCTATTTAGCCTAAGCCATCATAAAGAATATGTTTACAAATAATCAAAAATTCAAATTAAAAGTTAAATTTCTAAAACTTCATAAGGTAAAGTAATTTCCTAAAATAAAGAATATATATTAAACATGTAATTAATCAGTTCAAAACAAAAAAGATAGCTTTGATATTGTGAGCATATAAGAAAACTTATTGTTATTATAAATTTTATTTATATATTAGAAAGGTGTTTGTAGAGAAGAAATGGATATAAGCCTAAAATTTCTTCTCCATTTTATAAATTCACATATGTATCATTCAATTAAATGTTAGAGAATACAAATGGCAGGTGAAATGAAAGTTTTAATATATGAAAAGTTTAATTTCTTTAATACAAATGTTCAACAGATGATTTAAAATTGCTTTTTGAAATAGCATAAAAATTTCTATTTAAAAAAAAGAAATTATTATTATTTGCTGAACTGCAAACAAATGATAGAATGTTAGTTCTTTTTTGCAAAAAAGAAAAATCATTAATGAAATGTTGAAGGAATGCAAAAAATATGTTGTAGTTCTCGAACGCGGATCGACAAAGATATGTGTACCTTCGAGAGAGAGAGAGAGAGAGAGAGAGAGAGCAAACAGCGACGAAATAAATTAGTTAAAATAAAATAAAATTTAAGTACTTTTGTATAATGCACCATTCGTTCATTAAAAAAAATTCTTCAAAGAAAATTTTATTATTTCATTTTTAATTTACATATATAATTACTGTTAATTACTAAATTACATCAAATGTTGCAACAATGTTGTATGTGTAAATATTGGGAATAAAATTAAGGACCGAGAAATCTCAGGCAAAACTTGTTGTTAGTGCTGAAAAATTAAAATTCTCAAAGAAACTCCCTTATAAACCTTTTATTGTTTAAGCACATCAATTATTTTTTTAAGATCTCAAAATTCTACTTTTTCTCCTATCCTTTTCTCTCTCTCTCTCTCTCTTCATTTTCCATTAAAAAATTTCAGAGACACCAAATATTTTGCAAAGATTGCCGTATTAACGATATAATAATAATAATAATACTGAATGATAATCAGAAACGCACGAAATGATCCTATTATTATCAAGAATTCAAGGTCCTCTCTTTACTTTTGGTAGGGAATTATTCGACATTTGTCTGTCATCAAATAAAATTTTGAGATTTGACCAATTTTTTTTCTTGAATGTATTAATTTGTTTGTTGAAATATTTATTCGAATTATTATCTTCCAATTTATTATCTTCAATTGAATTCAAAATTAAAAAAAAATTTATTTGCGAACAAATTAAATAAATTATTAAAAATAATAGAACTAATCATGACAAGTAAAAAATCTATTTTTTTTATTCGAAAAAATTCTTTTGTATTAATTAATATTACTTATAATTATAGCAATTAAATGAAATAATTCAATAGTTTGTTATCGTAAATAATCTTCATAGGAATACGATAATGTTGTACAGAATTCCGATCGTCTTATTAGCTTATTCATTTATTTCACTTCTTGTATTCATTCCCATTTTCTTATTGTTTTGTCATATCTGACTGATATTGTTGAATGTTATTGTCTAAGGAAGAAAATTAAATTGAATTCTGCCTTCCAATAATTAAACTATCGCTTCTATTTCTATTATCATTTCATTGTGATATATTTATGTCTTTAATATTTCAAAGTTTAAATTTTTTTCTTAATTTATCTCTTTCTTTTTTCTCTTTGAATTTTCTTTATGACTGCTAAAAAGTATGAATTTTTCTACTGTAACGAATAAGTTCATTCATTCACTTACTCATCCAACACTGACTGATATTGTTGTATGTATTATCGAGGGCAAAGCATTCATTCGTACAGAGTGGCATAGGCAGATGGACGGACGCATCTGCGCCTGTCATCTGTGCGCTGAACTTCAATTATTCGAGATTGTAAAAAGTATTGAAAGCTCGAGCTCTTTCACTTCTCCTACTTCTTCTCTAATAACGCGACAGCTTCAACAAGATCTCAGAATTGCATAGCATACTTTTAATCCAGTTCAATTCATATTTACTTCTTCTCCCTTTGTCAACTAGTGTGAAATTACTGATAGATGGGTGGATGGATGGGAGATATTTGTAAAATATGCACAAATTGCATCAATCACAAATATCTCTTCCCTAAACTTTAGTTAATTTATTCTAATCTTTTCTGTTTCAATTACTTCACTTTTACTAATTTCTTGTTTTCCGCTAATTTTTATTTAATTATATTAGTTTTTATGTCATTCATTTCTTATATGTTTACAATTTCATTCGTTTATCATAGCGCTATTTTAAGATAAATCCTAAAACAATCTCTCTTGATTGGTCACTATCAATAACTATTATCATTGACCATTATCATTAACCATTATCAATCCATAGAGCTCACAACTTTAAACCTAATTTCATTGTTGGAAAAAGAAAAACAAAACAGAAAAACAAAAATATATCATTATATTAGATAATAAAAAACAGATATTATGTATATATTTTAGTTTCGAATTTATTAAATTTCTTTCGATCATTGTAGAATAAACGATAAATTCCATGAAGTGCTTTGAAGCAAATGTTTGTGTTAAACTGACAATTCTATGAAATTTACTCATTTTTCCAATTTTCGATTTGAATACCTTTTTTTCTGGTGATATAGCTTTTTTTCTTTTGTTTTTACTACCTATAAATGATTTATAAGTTAATTATATTATGTGTCCTTTTTTCTATTATATCATTATTAAAAGATTGGGATGTTATTTTTTCTTTATCACAAAATCAGTTCCAACTTAGTTTTTATAAAATTAACGTTTATGAAATTAAAAGTTGAATGGAATTAATATACAGATATGTTAATGAAGAGTGTTATCGTCACTTTGTACATTTCAATGATAATATTCATATTCACCTATTCTCATATTGATGAAGTTCCTTATGATTCTCATGTAATTAGTAAGATTCTTTATGATCAGCTAGGCAAAAGGTTAATTACTTAATTGCAAAAAAAAGTTTTTCTTATTGCTTCGAAAAGATAACTTGAAATTCTTTTTTGCGGAAAGTTCTAAAAGAAGAAAGAAATCTATTGCAACAAGTAGTAGAATTTTCGGAAGTTTAAATTTCATTCTGACCACAAATTATTGCATAGCTAATAATTTCAAAGAAGCAAAAAAATAAATGAAAATTTGAAAGATCTAAGAAAACCGCTGCCTCAAATATTTTAACTGCTTAAGGATTAATTATTAACTAATTAAAAAATGACGCAAGATACGTCAAAACGTCGAAAATTTTCGTAGTTTTGCTTAGAAATAATATTAAGTGATATTGCAGTAATGTCATCAGAGGCGTCCTGTTCGGGTTCTCAATCTCAAATTTATCATCTACAAAAACGCTGCAAGAACTGTTTCAGTTTGCGTTCAAAGTGCACTTGAAAAATAGCACCGAAAAGATCGCCATTATCAATGATAATTTTGATAACAATTCAATGAATAATAGCCAACAACAGCAACAACAACAACAACAGCAACAACAGCAACAGGAAATCCCTGGTACTTTGAACAGTAAGTTATAAATGCTTATTCTCGGTATTTTATTCGGTTATTAGTAGTTTGGTGTCAATATATATAATAGCCTAAAAATAGCTGTAGCATTCGGCCAAAACTATCGTTGCACGAGAATTATTTATATTTTGATTTCAACCAAAACTATCACTGCACTGATTACTCATTAGAATTAATCATATTAGTATTACTCGAAAATAATTTATTCGTATAGTTAAAATATTATAAATTTTTTGCTTTGTTTTTCAACTTTGTAAATTATTTCTAAATTAAAAGCTAGTAAATAAAATAGGTAAATAAAAAGAAAAGGATGAGAGAGTATTATAAAATGATTTTCCTGGAAAAGTTAAGATTTTGAATGAATATTTAATGGAGTATTTAAGATGTTTCTATGAATTTAAAATGTTTTAATTATAAATTCATAGAAATTAGCTTTAAGAAGCATTTGCTTAAAGTTACTGAAAACATTTATAACTAAAATTGGTAAAGCATTTTATCAGTTTCATTATTATCATTATCATTATCAATTATTATTATTATTGTTAATTAATTGTTATCATTAATAATTACCATTATTATTAACATTATTATCATTATCACTATCAATTATTATTATTGTCAATCAAGTGATTATTATTAATAGTTATCATTATTATTAAATATATGAGAGGTGTAAATAGATCGTTGAATTTTCGACAATCTTTCATTAAAATTTGTTTTGTTAAAATATTTGTTATATCAATGCTTTTTATTTACTTTTTTTTAATGAAAAATTTTACAGGGCATATTTTACTATCAAATACATTTTAGATTAATTAAATAAATTTTCTAAATTTCTATTAGGAAAATAAATTTGAGGAATGATTGAATAACGGAAATACGGATAGTGCCAATGATGAAATTTATTTTATAAACTTTAAATTTTAATTGTATGTGTTATTCCTGTTTTATGATTTCAGTAATTAAAGTATTTGATTTGCTATCATTTATTTGTTGTTATTTGTTGATCTAATATTTTAAGAGAGAGATTTTAATTTTTTGCTTTCTTATGCAACAACAAAAATATTCAATTGATATTGAATTTTTTCAAATTTAATTATTAATTTAAATTTAAATTAAAACGACACATTTTTTTAAATATGCTTTTACGATAATATAAATTTAAAATTTGTTTCCAGAACAATATTTAAAATAATTTTTGAAATGAATTATGTTGAAATTGAAGTCAATCATACCTTTTGCATTTCCCTCTTATTCGTTCCCAATATTTTTTATCATTTCATTTTATTACTTTTCACTTATGTGCCTTTTTTTAAATACTAAAATTATTGACAGCATTCTTTGGTGTGAAATATTTAAGAAATCTTATTCACAGAACATTTCCTTTTCTGTTTTTCATTTTTCCGGTTATTTCCTGAAAGAGAAAAAAAACGATCAAAGGGAAAAGAACAACTAATTAAAAAATAAATTTCATAAATGTAATGTAGAAATTTATTCCAATTGTGTTTTCAACTTTTTTCTTAAAATGTCTTAGAGAGCTAAAATGAAAATGATATCAGACTAAAATCGACATTTTTGAGTAAGTAATTAAATCAGTGAAACGCTTTAGGAAAGACAAAGCAATTCCTCTATCCGGCGATATAGTAACTTAACTTTTCTAATTTTCTTTTTATTTTTATTCAAATTCTTTTCTTCTCCACATTCTTCTTCTCTTATACCAATTTCTTTCTTCAAATATTGATTTACTGTAAGAATTTATCAAATATCACTATATCATTATCATCTTACAATTCAGTCAGTGTCTTTTGTGCAGAAGTAACTAACTACTATTACATTCATTGATAATATCATTGATAATATTGATAATATACACAAACAAAACAAAAATTGAAAAAAATACCAAGAGGATACTGAAATTTGTTTATTCCCAAGAAATTGAAGTGTAGAAAAAAAGTCGAAAAATTAACTCATTTAAAATTTTTAGCAACAAAGGAACGAAGTCGTGAAAAACGTCGTTCCTGGAGAGATAAGACATCAAGCACACAGGATAACGGTGCTCCGGAACATGTCAACGAAGGTTAGTAATAGAATTGAAATTGTTGTGAATGTAAATTAAACATTTTCAACAATCTATTTCAATTAATTCCCATCTCTTCATTTCTCCATTTCCGAATAATGTTGGAAATCAATTCCGTTATGAAATGAATTGCAATATTGCAAAATAATTATTAATCGAAAGCATAGTTATGCTTAGAAAAGCAAATATATAGTGAATTAAAATGATTGATTGAAATTTAATCATCTGCTCATATTTTAGTTTAATCTTTAAGATATTTCTCATCAATGATATTGTCAGTTAACTTTGATAGAATTCCCTCATATACTAATTTTTTCCTCATTTACATTTTATATTCAATAAATATTTATTTGCATATTGATATGCTTCATTATTCTTCTTTTACACTTGTAATAAACTTTTTCATTTGCAGATATTGACGAAGATATCATTTCGTGTACTTCATATAGATCAATTAATTCAAAAGAAATGTCAAGTGAGAAATCTGGTGAGAGTGTATCAGATACAAAAAGTATGATAACAGCAATTTCTGAAAGTATACAGGATGATGAACGAGCAATTACTCCTATGGAAAACGATTCGGTTCGATTTAAAATATATTAAAATAAAAAAAACAATTAATTTCAAAGATGAATCATATATTCTAAATATGTATTAAAATTATTTTATAGTCTTTTTATTTTATATCATTAATAATATTCAAATGATAAGATTGATTAAATATTATTAGCTAAATGATCAACTATTTGATAAAAGTTAATAGAACTGATATCGATGGACTGATATTTTGAGAATCCCTAGCATACTTTAACAGGAATTGAAACATTTTTGATTTTTAAATAGTCCTTATATACAACATTGCAGTTGAAGCCGTATACAGAGATATATACAGTAAAAGAATATGCAAAATTACTGCTTGGAACTTATTTTGATATTAAATTGTATATAAAAGGAAAACAGTGGGGAATTCTTTTTTGCATCGTAATTAATAATTAAGTTGCTTGTAATAATTAAAATTGTAATAATTAAGTTACTATTAATGAACTGAAATATTGACAAGTGAAAAGTGAACTTTGAAGCAAATGCCATTAAGGGACGATACTGAAATAGAATAAGATTTAAAAATAATTTGAGAATTTGTAGCGAAAATATAAATTTATTTTTGTGCAGAATTTCGACGCAGCAATGATGAAGGCAGAAATAGAACATTTAAGAGAAGAAGTAACTAAATTGAAAGAAGAAAGACAAAAATGGACTTTGAGAAGGTTTGAAATTTCTGAGCAAAATATCACATGAAGGTTTTAGGCAACTGTTTGCATAATTTCTGATTTAATGGTGTTATTCCGGAATCGGAAAAATAAAGCATCTCCATAAAGCATAATAAGTCATTTTCGTTAATTCGTCATTACAATAGTGAAGATTTTTTTTGAGAGAAAAGCATCAAAATTCAAGCGATGGATCGTTGATTGAAATGCTGGAAGAACAATTAACTGAAGCGGAGAATTGCATTCAAGATTATCGCGATGAAAATACTGTTTTAAAATGTGAGCTTCGTGAGTTGCAGGTAAGATGATAGGGTCAAGCATCTTTATTTCTCGATTGTCACAAATATCTTATTAATAATTCCAAATTCAAGTTTGGCAAATTGTGGGATGAGCATGTTGAAATAGAATGATCATTATTAGAAATTCAGAGAGATTGAAAATTCAATCGATAATTCTTTTCTCAATATTGTATTTTGCATTTTCAATAAAGCGAATGAATGAATTTGATTAAAAATCATTTCAAAACAGGAATGCGGAAGTTTGGGTTCGGATGATAATCGTACTAAAGTGAATGTAAAATTGGTGGAGAAATTAAAAGCTTCAGAATCGTTGTGCGATGAATTAATGGAAGAGAATGAATCGCTTAAAGCAGATATTAAAGATTTGCAACAAGAAATTGAAGAAATGCAAGTTAGTATAATAATTCATGTTTTTTCATTTGTTAACATTGGATGAATTAACATTAAGAAATGCTAACAGAAAAATCTGAAAGATTTTATTTCTATTCTTCATTTATCTATTATATGAAATTGAATTCAGATCGATCTGACGTGAAATTCAAATGAAAAGAAAAATTCTTGATCTAGTTTTGATTAGTTCTTTGAATTAATTTTTTCATTCATTTAATGATTTATTGATATCATTTACATTAAAATAGCCTTGATAGGATCAGTATCGCGAAGAAGAAATTGAAGAATTTCGTGAACTTCAACGTGAATTAGAGCAAAATGCTAAAAATTGTCGAATTTTACAATTTAAACTTCGTAAATCAGAACGTACACGTGAAGAAATCGATGCCGAAAAGCAACACCTTGAGGCTAAAGTAAAAGTAAGTCAATAGTTTACATTATTAATTTTATCATATACTATTATCATCAAGGTATTATTTACAATATATATTTTTTTCTGATTTCAAATTCATTTATTAGAGTGATAATAGAGAGTAAAGGCATGAAAGTAAGCAGAAAGATAAATGGCTGTAAGCAAGAATTATGATAATTATCTTAAAAGCTTTTGTGAATGAAATAGCAGAGGGTAGAGAAGCTTCGATGCGAAATATTTTTTGATTAGATGGCATAGGAAATTGATAAATTGATAAATATACAAGATTTTTTACAGGATTTGTTAGAGGCTTCATCTGCAACTAGTGGCTTACAAGCAACTGGAAAACAATTTGACACAATACGCATAAGGGAACTTGAATCGGAGTTAAGAATCGCTAAAGAAGTTTCTATTAGATTACATAATGAACTTGAAGCTGTAGAAGATAAGCGATATAAATTGGAGGTAAAATATTAGTGATAGCATTTAATGTATTGAGAATAGTTGATCTTCTATTTATCTTATATCATCGGATATGTATACAATAACTTCTAAAGAATAATCCGGAAATTTTCGATCAATACTTTCTCATTTTTTCTTGAATTGAAAAGTATGCATGTTGTTGAATTTCTTACAGGACGAAGTATTTTATATGAAAGATAAAATTCGAGAATTGCAAACGCAAACTAAATGGCGAGAAGCTCGAAATCGAACAGAACTACAAGCTAATATTTTTTAGATTTTTGTATTTAATTAATAGATATACAATTCCATATTAAAATTATTTGTTATTTTGTATTATTTATTCCAAATAATTTCGAATACACTCAACAATTATAGAAATAATACAATTAATTATCAAAACAGAAACCGAAAAAGGAGAAAAAAATCTTAGATTCATTTTTTTTTTGTAGAAAAGAATTAGCACAGATTTGTCGAATAATTCGATTTGCTCTGATACCAGTAAAGAAATGCAAGATATGTTGGAACGTGAAGCAGATTTGCGAGATCAATTAAAATTTGCAGAAGAGGATTTGCGTCGAACACAACTTAGATTACAGGTTAGTAAAATTTTCAACAATTTAGTTTTGAATAATTTCAAGCTTTTAAATTCTTAAAAATTTAGGATGTTGAAAGTGAGAATGAAGAATTGCTGAAGAAATTAGCAAGATTGAAGACAGTAAAGAGGCCACCAATGATACGTTCTTTCAGGTAAAATTTCGTTAATTATCAAAAATTATTTTGATTACTATCCTGCAATTCAATTTTGCTTCTCTTTTAAAACATTTATAATTTACTGAAATAATAATAATAAAATAATCCGATAAAAATATGAATTTGAAATTTATAACTGAGCTGATTTATCACACAGTTTGCGACATTAACAATGATATGCATGCTTTTAAAAAAATATAAATAATTTAAAATTCCTAAAATTGTTTGATGCTTTTACAATTTTATTATTGATTTTACATGAACACTTTAACAATTTCTATTTTATCATTTTAACATTACAAAATGAATTATTATGATATTACTATTTATATTTATATCATATAGTATTTATATCATATCACTTATCATTATATCACTTACCATATCACTTAAAATAATCAAAAGCATTGTATTTGCCCAGTATTTATTTTTTCAGATTATTTACTAAAAATTATATTAATTGATAGCAATGTATCATTGTAGTTGGCAAGCTTTTCAACTTTTTGACAGCTTTTTTTCGTGTGCAAAAGTCTTAAAATTTTCAACAAAGTATTTCTATTTTTATTCAATTTTATCTTCAAAATGAGATTTGAATGATGCGAGTGATAAGTGAATGATAAGTTGCAGCAAAAATAATGATAAACTTTTTCACCTATTACTTAAAACTTCGATATCAAAAATACAAATAAAAAAATGGATGAATGAAGTAAAACAACAATTCAATTATTCATAATAAAATCATTCATTATTAAATCATTAAAGAAATTTTGAAATAATTAAACAATTAATTCGATTGAAAATTTTTAAATTACTCTAAAATGCTATACTTATCATTCTTATCTTCATATCATTTGCATGTAAAAGCACATATAGCATGATAAATAATTAATTTATACCATACACCTTAGAATATAATTTCAGTGAAGGACATGCACAAATACAATTGGAATTGGCTGAACATGAAATGGAACATTTATCAACCAAAGTAGAACGATTGGAAAAGAAAAATATTCATCTCTCAAAGAAGTAATCAAATTTTCTTCGTTCTTCGTCAATTGAATTTAATGATCGCATGAATGATACATTCCCTTTTATGTATTAAAAAAACTTTTTAATGCAGCATTTTTATTATTTAATTAATATTTCAACACCTTTCTTTTTAACTCATAAATTAATAACATTTGCAATAGAATGAAATAATTTTTTGAACTTACAATCACTTAAGAAATATTGGAAAAGAAATAATTAAATTTGTAATCATTTCTTGACAATTATATCATAATCAAATTTTTATTTCGTATTATTAAAATCTTCAAAACATTTACTTTTTGTCTTCTTTAATTAAATATTTTTTCTACAAAAAATTTTTATCGAATAGAATTATGGAAATGGAATTGGATTCAAAGAAAACTTCAGAGAATGGAGAAATTATTAATGGACGAGTAAGTTTTATCCTTTATGATATTTTTATAAGTTTTAAATTTTAATCGAATTTTTTTAAAAAGAACCAAGGTAATCGTCCACAAGCCATTTTATGGTAATTAGCATCAATTAAGTTGGAGAAATTTTTTGAATCATCTAATTTATTTAAAATATTTCTAATTAACCATTTTATAATAATTAGTCATCCGATCAAGTTGGAGAAATTTTTTGAATCATCTAATTTATTTAAAATATTTCTTCTATTGCTTAATTACTTAATAAATTATAATATTAAATAGTTAAATTTAAAAAAAATCAGTATCCCCTTTTTTCTTGATAATTATAAAATTTTCAACAAATAAGGTAAATTTTTGTTTAAAGGCAAAACAATTTGAAGTACCACCGGAAATGCAACGTGATATTGGCAAATTAATGACAACAATTAGTGAATTAGAACGCAAAAATTTAGATTTATCATTGCAATTAAAACAACAAAGCGAGTTTAATTCATCAGTACCAACAGAAAAATGTTTGTTTCTTCACTTTCCTTCAATCTTTCTTATTTAAAGTACCACAAAGTATAGTTTCATAATTAGTTTAATTTATATGAATTTTGAAAAGTTTTTCAAAAGTTACAAAAATTTTATGATTTACTGATAGATTTCTTCTCAATGCATTATTCTTCAGGTGTAACTCTTTTGGCAATTAATATTGTTTTAGCTCAAGCTGAATTACGAATAGAAAGGGAGCATAAGAGAATTATTGAAAATGAATTGATGGAGCTAAAACGTATGATGCTTCAATCGGATAATCAAAAGTTAATCTCTATGGCTACAAAGGTTTTATTTCATACCATTATTATCATTCATGTTATTATCTCTTCTGATAGACACAAAGGAATTCATACAGATAAATTCAAAAAGAGGCTTATAGTATTAGTAATGATAAGCATATCAATTTGAGCGATCAGCAGCTTGCTTCTTAACTTACCTTAACCTAAATTTTTTTCATAAAAACAATTCAAAATTTATTAAGGTTGAATTGCTAAACAATCAACTTCTACTGGTAAATGATCGTTGTTCAAATCTTCATCGAAGAATTGTAAAAGAAGGTGGCAGTGAAACCGCATATGTGGTAAGTAAATATTTTAAATTGGCCCTCTTTGACTGTCAATAAATTTTTACTGACAAAAGAAAGTTTTGAAATTATTAATCTTTTTGCCAGTTTACGGAATGTGTTAAAGCATTCCTTCATTCTATTCTCTCTTTCATCTTTTGAAAAAAGACTATTTCTTAGAGATTGAAATTTTAATTTTTAATTATTTTCTTTTTAAAAGAATATTCAGTATATTAGCAATTTTCAAACTTTTTTTAAGCTAACATTTCTAAATAACTATTTAGAATATGTTGAATTTGTTTTTTGTTGAATTATAACAAAGTTTATTATTTCTCATATCATATTGTTTTAATAAATTGCATCCAATTAAGTAATTAATTAATGATTTCTTCAATTTTCTCAGGGAAATGATTATTTTAGGAATGAAAATTGTGCAAAACTTTCATTTTAATTATTAAAATTTTACATTTAATTAGCAGAAAAATTTTAATTTTGTTTTTTAAAGGATTCGTTGAAGAATAAATGTGAAGAATTAGAAAGGCAATTAAGCGAACAGAAAGCAAAAAATGCAATTAATTGTTCGCAAATTGACAGCGCTACCACTGATGAGGTTAAATATGAAATTTAAATATAAAACATTTAACTTTTTTTCCAATAAAATGAAAAAGAATTTTATTAAAATTAATTAATGAAATAATGATTGTATCATATCACCTGATAAAAATTAATTTTTATAGATTGAACAATGTTGTGAAGTACTTGCATCGGTGGAAGCACAAACAAATCGAATTTGTAAACAAATCGAAAAAATTGATAGTGCTCAAAAGGTTCCACTTTTTTTAAGTTAAATTTAATCGATAAATTGCTTTCTTATTTGAACACTGATAACTGATAAAACTGGTAATTCTGTTGTTTTGAATCCTTCCTTCTGATTTCCTATTTCTCCAATTCCAAAAGGCATTTCTTATCTGAGAAATAAAATTAAACTATTCATCCATTATTGTTATCATTTATTAATCATAATTTTAAAGTTTAAATTAAAATTTCTCAAATGTTTCATTAAGATAAAACAATATATTTGTTATTATACAGTCTTCTTCCATTCAGGATGAACGGCGACGTTCGTTATCGAAAGACAGCAGTGCAACAATCATTTCTGAATTAGCAACTGTGATGTCCGAACTAAATAATGTTCATCAGTTATTGGAAGCACATAAAGTTTATGCTTTTTCTTTTATTAATTTAATTTCTAAATTTAATAAAAGGAACATACTTAAGCAATCATAACGAAAATTGTTATGCCTATGAAATTGACAGCTGATAATAACAATGTTTTAAATGAATTTTTAATTTAATTTTTTGCAAATGATAGATAAAATTATTAATATAATGTGATAAGATTTTAAAGCGTTAGGTTGTTTTAAAAAATTTTAGCCTAAAGAATCGTTTAAGACAAATAAAAAACTGATGTAATATTATAGTTAATTATTGATTGCGGGAATTATTTTTATCTATTCATAATTATATAAGTTATTGATTGATCAATTATAGAATGATATTATTATTTTACCATTTCAAATATTAGTTATGATATTTGTTCACTAAGTTTTTAGACTATGAATTATAACATTAGTAGCTTTCGCTAAAAAAAAATTAGTTAAAGGAGAAAATTTTAGGTTAATTTGGTAATTTCAGGTTAATATAGTTTCTCGAGGTTCTCCGGTAAAAAACATATCGAATATGAATTTAGAATCAAAATCATGCAGCAAATGTAAAGAAAATGAAACATTCATCGCATCACAAAAGGATGAAATTGTATTTTACAAAAAGAAAAATAAGGTATCGTAATCAAATATAACAATTTCCATTATTTAATATTTTTATTCCTACTTAAATTTTTGAATACTATTATTACTATTATTGTTTGTTATTTATTTTAGGAGCTCACCAATCAGGTATTACAAACGGAAGATCGTTGGACTGCTGAAATTGAAAAGCAAAGGCAAAGCTATGAAAATGAGGTAAGATTCAGGCAGGCAATAAAGTTCATTGCAAATAAAGTTAGAAATTTAAAATTGAAATAATTTAATAATAATATATTACAATCTATCTTCTTTTGAAGGTTCGTATTTTACAAACGAAATTGAATGATGCGCAACGAGATGTGATCGAGCAGGAGCATTTGTTGGAATCACGAGCTGTTGCATTGGCTGAGAAAGCTCGTATGATACAGGAACGAGATGAGAAATGTGATAAATTGAAGAAAGAATTACTTGTTGTAAAAAAAGAAATTCAGGTAAATTTTGAATTCGAAGATTATTTTATTTATGTCATCTTTGTTTTCTTCCCATTTTAAACGAATCACACAATTTTAGTTTTGTCTGTTTTTAACTATGCTTTCTATATTATTATATTTTATAGGATATTGAAGCAAATCGTAAATCTGCTAAAGAGTTTGAAATTAAATATAAGAAATTAGAATCGATGTTCAATTTGGAAAAGGAAAAATTGGCTGAGGAGAAGACAAAATCGAAATTAGAAGTGACATTGTTGAAGAAGAAATCTGACGAAGCACTAATTAATCTTGGTTGGCATTATTTTATGTGGAAAGAAAAAGGATACTATATTGTTATTTTGACAAAAAATTCCTAAACCATTAGAATAGTATAGAATCTTTTGAGTGTTAAAGCTAAAAGAAAAGTTGTTTGCAGAAAAGTTAAGCAACAATTTCGCTAAAAAGGAAAAGGATTGGAAGGAGAAACGTGATAAGCTCGAAGATGAATTATCATATTTAAGGAAACAGCTTAACAAAGATGCCATCAATGATATTACAGATGGTACTTGATCTTTTTTAGCAGTAATTTTTTGATAATAAACTTAATTATATTATCACATATTAAATATACATGACTAAGAGGAGGTGATTTGTTGTCATTAGATGATTGTTATAATGAGACTGTTTTTATTATTTTTTAGTAGGTCATTTTAGTGAAAAAAATTTATCAGATATAAAATAGTCGAGAACTGATGAAGTTAACTTTGATACCTTTATTTTCTTCAAAATTATCATAATAGGTAAAACGGTTGTTTCGAATCTCAGTTCATCTATTCCCATCATGCATCATTCACCAGTACCAGCAACAGCACCAGTGATAGCAAACCATAAAAATGATGATGTCGTCGATTTGAAAGATCAAATCGCAACTCTGCAGAAGAAGGTACTTCGTATTTTTTGATTTATCATTTAGCTCTTACAGCTTTTTCATTCAATAAACTTCAACATTCTTTTCATACTTTAAGTAAATCATATTCTTTCTGATCAAACCATATTAAAAATTAGTACATTTTCCGTTCTCAAACATTACCAAAATAAATGGCACTTATTATATGCAATAATATCTCAGCAAACTTCCATGATCAGAATTATTTTAAGTCATGTACTGTTTAGAACAAAGAGCTGACGAATCAAGTCTCAGATGCAAAACGTGATAATGAAGATTTACGCATGGAACTTGCCTCGTTGCAGCAAAAATGGACAAAGGATAAGAATGATTTATTACATAAAGCTAGACAGGAAGAAAAGGTACCATTATTAAATACCATTATTAGCTCTTATTGAAATATATAGGTTTTAATAAGAAATAGAAATATGCGGATATTAGTAACAGAAACAAATTACTGCTAATGTTTTAACTGATGTTACAGTCCAATGTTATAATTCATCTAATACTGTTTTTTTTTTTGTTTCACTGAATTACTAAATTTTATATCACAGGAAAATAACCACGCTATATTTGATTTTATGATATATGAAAGATATAATTAAAGGTAACATTAAGTGTTCGCATAATTTATATGTTATAATAAGATTATTTATCAACATATAAATTATGCTTTAGATTACTTTGATATTTATTGGTTAATAATAAGGCATAACCTCTTCGTAATTTAATACATTTAATTTTAAGATAAGTATAAAATACTGCAGATTCGCAACGTGGAACTCGATGCGTTACAGCAAAAGTTTGCAAGCCGAATGCGAATAATGGAAGATACGAATAAATCGTTGCATTCACAGGTATTAATTGCTGCATAATTCAGTGATATCGCTATTTAATTTATTTGCATAAATAAGAATGACAATTAAGTAGTATATTTTTAGGTGGTGCAAGCTCGACGTGATCGTGATTATCATCGTGAAGCATTGCATTCATTTGAAAGTAAAGTATCAGAGGAACAGCGCCGCGGTGAAAAAGACATGAAACGGCATAAAGAATTTGAGCAGAAGAGCTCCGATATGGTATGACTTAAGTTTTCTATCCTTGTTTTATGAAAAATTTTTAAATTCGAAAAATTTTAAGTTTTGAACTTTTTTAACTTTTTGTTTATTATTATATCATGTAATAATAACTTTTGGATAAGACAGCAAAATATAAGTCAAAAATTTTCTTTTTTTAGATCAAACAGATAGAAGATTTGGAAGAGGAAGTGATCAAATTGAATGCTGATTTAAAATTGGCAAAAGAGACTCATGAAGCTGATCGTGCTTTGTGGAATGTTGAAAAATCTCGTATGAAACCTAAGAATACCACAACTTCGGCTGATAATAGCACAGAGAGTAAAACTGTAAGTGACATACAAAGTGCTTTTAAATAATTAAACTTTGTGATGTACCATCAACGATAAGTTGAGTCTGTCTATGTAATCCTTCGCATTTCACCTAAACAAATTCTCATTTACTGTGCTCTGAAATGCTGAACTTCATCAGTTCTGGCTCAGCATTATTTTTCGTTTAAATTACACTCATAAAATCATAGATCACAGATCATTTACACTAAAGGCACGTAAAATTTCATGCAGTACAGGATTGAGTGAAATTTTAGAAATTTTTATGTGTTAATGATTTTTACGTGATAATTTCAAGAATGAATTTTTACTTCAATTAATCATATTTAATCATTTTGCTTTATCAATAATCCTTTTCACTTCACCTAAAGCACTATTTTAATGTTTATTTCCAAATTAAATATTTTTCCATTTTTATCGAAGAAAAGGTGCTATAGGTAACAGAAAGTGCTTTGAAAAGTGCCGAAATAGTTCAGAAGAAATACGCCGAATATCAAAACTTTTATACGAAAGAAGTAGAAAGGTTAAATAGAAAAATGAAAGAACTTGCGAATGAAAATCTTTCCAAACAGCAAGAATCCGAAAAAACTGTCGAAAATGTAAGTTTGTTAGATTATAAAGTATACAAATTATAAAGTATACAAGGTTTAGCATATTATATATTACAATTTTCATAATTATATTAATAGTACGATAAGTAATGGGAATTTCAGCTACGTGAACAGATTAAAGTATTGGAAATTAGTCAACGAAATTTAATGGAAGCTCGTGATATGCAATTGGGTGCAAAAGAATTTTTAGAAAGTGAGCTTAGAAGATTACAAGAAATGTTGAATGTTAACGAAGTTAATCGGTTAACACGAAAATACAAATTCTCATTAATTATTGAACAGGTAATATTTTGGTTATTTTGTATTATCCGTACTATTTCATTTATTTCAAATCTTTTATTCAGCTATTTCATATTTTCACTGTATTTCCTCCATATAGGTAAGAGGATTTTAAAGTAATAACCATTTGATTAATGTATTCATTATTCACTAAATTATTTGAAAGGGTCAACCAAATTATCTCTAGTATTCCTCCAAAAGGTTACAATTGATATTATAATTTGTAACTGACAATTTTTCAAACATTTTCAAAATAACGATAGCATTGTATTAAATTGTAATATTAATATTTAGCTAGAAATACTAATCAAATCATTAACTAAATCATCAATTATTGGAAAAGATTCGTTGGATAATTTGGAAGCTTTTCTCTCTCAATTGAAACAAATGAAAGAGGAAGACTGTCAATCATTTACGATTAGGTTCTTTTTTGCTTCCGTTCAATAGTGTATGTATCGCGATCATATATTACTACTTTAAGCTATAAGATATAATTATCGGTTACATTGTTTTCTGAAAGAAAAAAACAATAAAGACATAGATATTATTTTTTTTTAATAAATTAAAATACTCAAAAGTTTTAATATTTTCATCAATGTACAAAACTTTTACATTTCATTTCTGAATACGTTAATTTGGAACAATTTCTTCTATGTGGAGAATCTTTATATCTTCTATTTGAAACATATGCTTAATTTGTAGCAATGGAAAAAAACAAAGGAAAATTGATGAACGATTGAAATCGGTTGGAAGTGAATCCGATACAACAACACAAGCACAGTGTATTGATGCATCATCATCAACTCCAACTCGTTTCTATTCTTACAGTACCCTTCCAACATCATCATATAAGTATCACATTTTATGCGCAATTTTTGTAGTATGTTTACTGTTGTGAGGTGTGGAAAAAACGGCACCTATTATACAAAAAGCTTTCATTTCTAATTTTTTAAAAAGAAATATATTTTGTTATTCAAAACAGTTCGCAGCTGTTTTTAATTTTCAAAAATATGAAGTTATTGGAGAACAAATGTAAAAAGAAAATTATATATATGTGAACTAATTTGGATAATTCAATCATTATACTTTTTACATTACTAAATTTGCCAATTTACTTAGTTTTTAAGGTTAACATGAGCTTTTAGGCTAACGGCAACAGTGAAACATCTGGGCGAAAGTAACTCTGCCGTTGAAATTCGACAACTGGAAGCAATGGCTAATGGAACACAAACGCCAATTAAGAAAATTTCACCATTCCCAGATCCACCACCTAATTTTATCCTTAGTAATAAAATAGATTTTCGTTTGAAGAATACATTAGAGTGTTTTTCAAACAAAAATCTATTTTATGACCATTTGCAACCATTCAAAAATGTTTGATTCTAAAGTATTTGAAAATTAAATAATTTTTAAATTTCATTTCTTTAATAGCAAATTAAAAAAAAAAAGAGATGAAAAGAACCGTTTCAGACAACAAGATGGCGGTAGAATATGATAAAAATGGCCGACTTCATTACATTCCTAAAATTTCACGTTCCGCATCACGTGATCGGTGTGATGAAAACAATTTTTCATCCTGTGGTCTGGATGACAGTGAAGATTCATCAACCGGACAATTGCATTTCAGAGCAAACAGTACCGGTAATACGAAAACTTATATATCAATTGTTGATTTTATTTATTCTGAAATTCTTAGTAATTTCCAAGATATTTTTTTTCTATGTTTAGATATCTGATAAAAATATGCATTAAAAAATCTTTGAGCTTGTTTGATTAAAAAAATTTCAGTTGATAATTGAAAATGATATGAATGCACTGAGCTGAGTGCTTATCAAAAACTTTTTCTCAAATATTTCAATGTAATTTCTTAATTATAGGAACGAATATTTTATATGATATCCGTCGAGTTCAACTAGCTCACGGTAATAAATCATCAGTACGTTTAATGGCGAAAGCATTTGAATCAATGGAAGCAAACGCAACAAAAACTCTTCCAAATTCAAAGCGATCATTGTTTGGTATACGCAAATCCCGTTCTGTTGAAACTACTGAAATAGGAAAAGGCATTGGAAGTGCTACAAAGAATGTATGTACTTTTTTTAGATCAAAATTAAATTTGTGAGAAAGTAGATTTGTTCACAATTATTCTAATTTCAGATATTAACACCTTTAGCATCATCACCAGTGGCAGTAACTGTACTTGGTCGAAATACATCACTTAGTCATATCGAAGAACTAATGGGTAGTCAATCACCGTTTGGGAATGTATCTCGCGGAAGTCGAAATCCATTTAAAATTATGAGTAAGATTATTTCTTAAGGAGTTATTAAATTTCTGGAAATTTCATCGTAAACTCATAAAACACTAATGAGTACCGGTTTAATTCACATGATTTGAATTATGAATAAACTTAATACTAATCATTATACTATATCAATCAGGAAGTTTATTAATAGTATCAAAAAGTAAATGATAGCCAATGTACTGAATTCAATAATTCTCATATGTAAAGAATTGTTGCATATCATTACTTCCAAATAGATCAATTTTATCTAAAGCACATTGATAAAATGAATATTATAATATTATCCCTCACAGCCATTAGTATAGTTTATTTGATCACTGAAATTAATCACAAATCATAGGGCAATTTTTTTAAACTTATTTTTAGAAACAAAAATAGTTGAACGTGTACGACGAAGTTTGAGTAGATCGAGCTCAAAAAGACACAAAGATAATTCGACGGATAGTAGTCAAAGCATTAAACGCGAAAGTGAAAGCACTGTGATAGTTGATCAAAAAAATGAAATGCTTGAAAATTTCAGTGAAACAAAGGTAAATTACAATTAATGCTTTCCACAATTTTCATCATTCAAAATATATATTTTGTACAATGTGAAAATTTAAATCCTTATTTTGAAATCTATAAGAAAACAATTTTATATTTTGGTATTATATGATTATTTACTGTCAATATATGGATTTACCAAATTGTCAAGCTGTCATTATTTTTAATTATTTAATAACGTTAAGTCTATATAATCAGATCAAATAATTTTCGACTTGCCTATGATATATCCAAAAATATACATCAAAGTGCTTTTAACACTTCTTACAAGTGGAAACTATTTGCATGTTGGATATGTTAGAATCTAAATGTGAATAAATTTGACAATCTGTGTAGCGATAAATTTAAAATATTGGCAGAAAGTTATACTATTCGGAATTGTTAATTTTGTCTTAATTTAATTTCATCTCAGTTTCATTCGGAATTGTTAATTTCATCTTAAAATTCGAAATTTTTAAATCACAAAACGAATTTGTCATTTAAAATGCAGATATTACAGGATTGTCACACATCATCGTCGCCGGCTAAAAAAGCAACAAGCAAACCTCGGATGAAAAAAAAAGTAAAGAAAACAGCAACACCAGTTAGTTAGCTGAAATAGCATTGTGATCATGTATGAACTCAACAACCAGTTAGCTGAAATAGCATTGTGATCAATATATGAAATCAACAACCAGTTAGCTGAAATAGCATTGTGATCAATGTATGAACTCATTTTGAACTTTGGAAAATAAGGGATCAATTTTGAATATTTCTTCTTTGAAATTCCAAAATTTTTACTGACAATCATGATATTACCCTTTATCATTAGATGTTGAAATATAGCACAGAATGATGTGACCTGTGGTCATTCTTCCCAGCAAAAGGTCTCCCTTAATTTTTTTTTTTAAACTCTTGTATGCTGCTCTCACTGTAATGTTTTTCAGCTAAAATTTTCCTGATAACTGCATTACAATATTCCTGAATCATAATATCTTATCACCACCTCACTAAATTTAGCACTGTGTTCAGATTTTTGTATCGATTTCACTCAAAGCTTCGACTGTTAATACCATTTTTGGTATCGCAGGTTCAAAATACGCAGTTGCTGTTTATTAAACTTTAGTTCAAACATTTCTAGCTATATATATATATATATATAGTGATAATGATAGTGGTAGGAAATCATGATGATGGTAGCAATAGCGACAGGAAATCATTTTCCACTAAAGATATTAAATGAAAGGAAAAAAAATTTCTTTCATCAACAGAATGTTGGAAATGATTGCTTATGAAAATTAGAAGAAATCTCCAAATTGATATTGCTGAGATTTAAGTTTTTGTAATTAAATATCAAGTGACGATTTTTACTGAATTTTATCAAATCTGAGTTATTGTTATTAGTTGTGATCTGCTACACAATTTGTCTTATCTAATTGCTTCCTTTCGTTGTTGATATTTTGTTCAATGATCAGTATTTCTTTTTTAAATAGCATATTAACTGTTAACAATGTATTATGAGTAATCGCCAAGTTTACCATTTATTTTCAATCTCATATTATTGGCATGAATCAATTTGACTGTTGAATTTCAATTCAATTTTTCATTCTAAACAAAAATTTTCACTATCTCAAGTAAATTCAGTTAAACATTTCTTTTTGAACTACTCGTTTCTGCTAATGTGATACAATCTACTTGTTTCTTGTTCTTCAGTTAATAGGTTGCCTGATAATGTTCTAAAGCTGCCTTATCATTTTCGTTATTATTTTCATATTCCGTACTTATTCCTTATTCTTTCTAATTTCCAAAATGTGCTTATTTATAAAATCTCATTTTTCCGACATGTGCAGTAAGGAATAAAGTTATATTAAGAATGAATTTATTAAATTCAGGAAAGAAAAATTGCACAATTATAATTCATCTTTTGTAATTACAGGATTAATTCTCTCATGAAAATTAACACAAATGTATATATTGAAAAAATAAAACAATCATAGTAATAACGTATACTAGTAAAAAGAAATGTTGATTAGAAACTGAATTCCTCAAAATTCTGCTAAGCCTTAATTATATTACATAAAGTGCCTTAATAATTCTTTTGTCATTGTTGAGATGTTTGACGTAGAAAAGAAATACGTATGTATGTTTTGATTAATTCAATAGGTTATGTAGGTAAAATTATTTCATTTCTTTCATAAGCAAGAAATTCATAAAATGCCTCAAATATGAAAGAATGTGCGGTAAGCGATAAATATACAGAATAAATAGTTACTGATTAGTTCACCTTTCCACTTGTCGTAAGCTTTTGATGCTCATTTATGTTTTATTTGTTTTATGTTTTAATTTTTTTATTATATTATTATCATTATTAATTGTTATTAATTATTATTAATTGATATCATTATCAATTATTATTAAATTTATTTATGTAATATGTTTATTATTATATTACACTTAAAAATTCACTCAAATATGTTTAAATTTCACTTAAACTAAAAAAGTTTTCTTTTTATTACAAATTAAAAAATCGAACAAATTCTTATCATACTATAATAAAAATTGGAAAACAATTGAAAGAATGAAATAAATATATTTGTATTCAAATTTACAAATTTAACATATATTGGTGTAAAATTTAACAATTAATAAAAAATCAAATTATTAATACTTTTCCCGCATTCCCGTTTATCAATCTTTCCTTTTCTCCTCCCGATATTTCCATTTCTTTGCTAACTTTATCATATAGGAAGAAATAAACTTCCAATAACTAATTCGAAAATTAAACCACGAACTATTTATAAATTCAGACTCCTCGATTTAGTCGAACGATGAGAAATACGAACTGACAGTATAAGCGGGAAAACGTGTTGTAGTCAGTAATTTTGGTGAACTTTCAGTTATTCAGTTATTCAACTAGTTATCACCATATTCAACTGGATATTACCTATTTAACTTAATATCAGTAATATTAAATTTCCATATGAATGCCAAATCGTAGGGGCCTTAAATTACCATAAGCACTAACGAAATGAATTTTTGGATAATTTTATAAAAGATTTAATGTCTTTAACTTTAGCACCACTTTAGAATTGTCTTATTATGAAATGAAGTCAATTTAAGCGTACAATCAATCAATTAGTTGAAATGAGAAATTTGAAAAATTAAAGAATAAACGAAATCGATAGACCTACTTGTTGCCAAGCGTTTCAGAAATGATTGCATCGCTGTATAATTTTTCCTGAACAAATTTTATTCTGAAAAACTAACAGCGAGAAGAATGTTAAACTTAAACAATGAAGTTGAATTTGAAGAAAATCAGAGTAGTTAAAGTAATGATCATTCATCCCGTAATGTCTTAGTTTAACTGATTATTTACTCTAAATGATAAAACAATGAAAAGGTATCTCATAAAATTAGGAATTTTGGCAAATTCATTTCACTCTACAGAAATTTATTTACTCCTTCAATAAAAGCATTATGTTTGTATCTCTATTGTAGTGCCAACATAGAACTAATCATATCATCTATGAAAACATTTTGGGAGAGAGAGAATATTTTTCCTCCAACTCCTTCAAAAGTAAAAAAGGTAATAGTTGTATTAAACAAGGAATGATTGTGACACGAAAAATACAAGGAATATCAACATATTCTTTATTCACTCTCCTCCTCCTCAATGTTTATTTATAATCTTTGCATGAAACAAAAATACGGAAATAAATACCTGTTACAAGATACTTGAAGGGAACCTCATTAATTATAGCATATCATTCAACAATTACGCTTTGCTAATCTTTGTAATATCAGCTATGATATATTCTTGTGCCAGAGTAACATTTACGGAGTAATAATTTTAAACTCAAACAGAGTGTATCTTCAATCGTTCATTCCTTCATTTCTACCTCGAATGCTTACAATTGTTACATATAAATGATCAAGTTGAAGATAAAATATATCAACACAACGATAAGGTAACATAATCGGCTAACAATGGCCAGTGGTCAAGAAATCCATCATATACATAAAACGTCGCTTCTGCAGCAAATTATCATTGGATAACAACAATATCGAAATTTAAATGTTATAACATTTTAAATTTGCTAGAAAGAAGACCAGCTTCTACTGTTACAATAATATAAAGTTGGAAACCAAAGATTATTCTTTCTTAGCCGGAAAGTACATCATCAACAATGAATGGTTGAATATTTAGCCTATCTACGGAACAGATTTTTTCGTAGTGACCTGATTGGTTGTTGTCATTGTCGTACAATGAGGTTTGTCCCATCAAGTTTTTCTGCGTGGAACGTTATAAGAGTTTGGAGGGTTCTGTGATGGGTTTCGTTGAGAGGTTTGGTGCCATCTCATGGTATAGATTATTAATATGTGTTTCTTTGAATAATAAAATTGTTCGGATTATGAGATGGCACGCGTATGAAGTATAAATTTTTAGGTCACAGGATATTTGGTGGGATGTCAGCCCAAAAAATGTTTAGACATTTCTGTCTATTTTTTTATACGATTTAAGTGTCGTTGTTAGAGAAATTACTTTCAGAATACAACTAGTCAGCAAATAGTAGCATGGCAAAGTCAAAGAATCACACAAATCATAATCAAAGTATGTTTTCATTTTTATTCATTGAAATCTGTATCCTTTTATTATGTCTGTTTATATATGATTGTGGAAGTTCTACTCTCTTTATGATGGAGGATCTGGACTGAGACTTACTGCTGTTTGAAAGAGCAATGCTATCTGAATTCTGAATCGAAACTCATTGTGCAAAATATGCCATTCTTTTTTAAAGGATAACAGATAATATCATTGTATGTTTCCGTAGTGATAAATGTTTTCATTTAATTAATTCATCAATAAATCTCTTAATTATATTTCTGGAAAGGCGTTGGATACTACTGAATTACTATTAATGTGATGTAAATGATTCATCTTAAAATCTCTCATTGAGCTGGATGTAGTTATATCTCTATATTGGTTAGGTTGTTAGCGGTTTGATATTTTGGATCGGAAAGAGTTTCTTCCTTGATATTTCAAAAATTTCTGAGACATGCTTTTCATTATACAGATATGTCGTCCAGTTTTTATTACTTTTACACGTGATGTGTAATATCTCAGACGATCTAATTGTAGACATCCTGAGATAATGGTTATTTCAGATAGAAAGGATCACAGGAATGGTATTAAGAAGCCGAAAAAACATCGTTTTATGTCCATGAAGGGAGTTGATCAGAAGTTTCTGCGGAATCTTCGATTCGCCAAGAAGCATAATAAACGACATCAGCATCAGAAGAAAGAATCTAAAGCTTAAAACATTAATTTTATGATTGCTTGATCGTTTTTTGTTGTGGTATCAGTAAACTGTTAATATTATTGATTGCCTTTTCCATTTCATACAAGCTGCACATAATTTTCTGCATATTTTACTTATAGAATTGTTTTATTTCATAGAAAACAGTTTTTATTGCCAGAGTTGGTGGAGATGTTTTGCATTCCGAGACATTTACATGTCCGTTGGTTGAGTGTACTTCATCGCCTTCTTGGTTGCTGTAGTATTTCCTACGGTCCTTTATGTGTTTAGAATAATCATTTGTGTGTTGGAAGTTTTACTTTGATTCTTTTCGCTTAAGATTCATCGTATTTTACTTAAATCATGTAGTCGAGGTTCTGAATTTTATTATATTTGTGCGGACTTTCGTGAGTCACTGACAACTTCAGTAAAGATGAATGAGGAGTGTATTATTCGAAAGTTGGTGGCCGATGGAGATGGTGGTGGTGATGATCGCCGGTTCGTAACCATTCTTACGTTACTGCTAAAACTTATCAAGGAGCCGGAGCCATCCCAAAGGTTACATCATCTGAGCAATATTTCTGGGTCCTTTTATCATTTCTCTTGTGCAGTTTCGGAGAGTTTTGAGAGTTCTTATCGAAGTTGCGGAAAGTTTTCGAAGGAGATTAAGGAATTATTCGGTGCAGTGGGACTTAAAATCTTGATCATGTAGTTCAGTTTAGCTTACTACCACGAATTATGAAAACGTTGGACTCGGCAGAAACTGCTATGAAGAAACAGGTGTTGATTTCCGCAATGAATGAGCGACAGATACAGGAGTACGCTATGCTTACCAATCATATAGGTAATTCTTTCCTATTTTTCAAGTTTCTATAGAAGACTTTCAGAATTCTCGAAGAAGTTTGTTATTGTAACAATTGTATGATATCTAGATTCATACTACCTGTGATTATACATTCTTTAATATGGTTTTCCAGTTGATTGTCCAATAGGATCCTTTTGTCTTTCTTGTAGTTAAAGGAATAAAAAGCCAGGAATCCTCCAATACTTCCCAACCTTTGCGTTAAAGATTACTAGCTTAAATTTGTGCTTTTCTCTGTTCTCAGGGACTAGAAATAGCAAGATTGGCTTGTACACTGCGTCTCGGAATTTAAACAGAATCAAACACTTCGCATTATCGTTTATTATTCTATATGTAGCAGCATTTTCAGCAACACTTTGTTAATGTCAAAAGAAAATCAGCGACTCGATTTGCTGTTTAGTATATTAATTAAAGATTTTTAATTATAGAACAAGAAATTGTAAAGGCGAATGAAAAGATGTCTGCTGCAAAAAAAGAATTATCTATTGCAAAAGGGATGCGGAAAAATAAAGAAGAATATGAATTATTGGCTAAAATGATTGAGAAAGTGCCATCTAGGCCGGAAACCACTAGGTTCTTTTTATTACTCTTTATTTAAACGAATAATAGCTTTTCATTGAATCATTTATCAGAAGAAATTGAGATTTGGTTCGCAAAAGTGTCAATTTTATATTAATACTATGGTGCTAACTTTAACTTTTTCGTTAAGAATGTTAACTGTTAACTTTTTCGTTAAGAATTTAAGATCTCATCCTCTATGTGGGAAGTTTCAATCTTGCATTTGAGTACAGGCTACTAATTGTTAATCATTGTTTTGTTTTCTGAGTATTTTTGCGAAACCATTTGGTCTTTTTGCGTTTTATTGCTAAACAGTACAAAACTCTCGGCGAAATTTATCACTTCCTTTGCTGGGCAAAATCCTTTCATTTTCATTTTCATATAAAATGCAGCTTCAGTAAATTTGACACAGACCAAATAAAAGTAAACGATGACTGTACAATGAATCTTAAAAAGTAAACTGCAAACTTAATAGCTTTTTAAGATTTATTATATGTATACAGTAATATGAACATTTTAAATAATCGCGTTATCATCTTTAATACTAATTGAAATTGCAGGAAATTAGAGATAATCAAGAAGGAACTTGAAGAACTTCATGAGAAGCAACGGAATTTAGAAGCAAAGGTTTGTTTAGCATTGATTTTCCCAAGTCATATGTAGTCCGGTATCAATAGCAACATGATCTTTAAAAATTTTGGCGATATTTCTGAGTCGCGAAATTGTTACCTAAGTAAGTTTTCACGTTTCTTTGTTCATATGGGTCCGTCCTCCATCCCTAATAAGGTAAGTTATGATCTTGCCCATTTCATCAGCACTACCATTTCCTTGAACTGGAAATCCAGTATTCATGTATATTTATCAATACGTTAAGTAAAAATATGTAGCAGATCGACTTTCATATTGCGGTGTATTTCAACATAGTAATTACTCATATTCTTTGCTAATTTGTCACATCAAATAATTTTCAGTTAGCAGACCGGCGTAATCACTTGCATGCATTTAATATTATATTGGCAAACTTCTGCAGGTTTTTGAAAGGTATGCTTTCAGTTTGTGCAAGTCATGCAGAAAGTACTATTCTAATCCTCAATCTCTTATGTTCTTCTAAACCTACTTGACTTTACGTTCATTTTCTGTATTGACTTCAGTTAGAAATATATTTGTAGACGAAGAGAACGATGAAATAATGAATAATGACGAGACCTTGGACGGTGCGACCACAGACACTAAGAAGGAGAAAGCTTAATTTAATCTCAATTTTACATTATTTTTCATACGGGTATTTTTTTAAAACATTTGATCTTACAGTGGCGTTCAAAAAAAGCTTATCACATGTCATGTGTAAATATAACGACTGTTTGAAGAAATATATTTTACACCAATATGGCAATGACAAATGCAAACATGCCCACATGAATAGATCTGAATCAGCAACGAGAAAAGAATTGTTTGGCTTTCCAAGAAACGCAGGCACTTAGAAATTTTACAAAGAGGGATAAAATGGTCCTGACAAATCCAAGGTTAAAGTACTGGAAAACTTTTGCAACGATTTTCCTTGAACAGCATTGAGGGAAAAAAGCCAAAAAATGACCATGAATAAAAATGATGGCAGCCCAAAACATCCGTAGAGAGGCTTTGCTTTTTAAAATGTTCACTAGAGATAGACAGGAAACAATAATGGTCAGTGCTACCTTTTCATGCATAGAGTGGAAATATTTCATTGGGAATTCTTTTCTATCTTCAATTTTTACTCACTTTGTCCAAACAGTTTAAAAAGTATGCGTCTTAGATAAAATGGACTTAAGTAACAATTTTCTTTTCAGATCACAGATTTCCTACAGTCATCCTTCCTCTATCATAAATGTAGGTGTACTGAATGGCTAGCAGCCTAGATTTTAGATTGAAAAGATATTTCTTTCGAGGACTAGAATTTGAAACGTAGAAATGAGGTGAAATGATGTGTTGGAATATCACATAGATGATAAATTACATCAGAGAACATCTCGCTGGCTTTCCCTCCACTCTGTACCGCAATTTTCGCAGTTGCCCTGTTGGTTTATATTTTTGAAGAAAATTCAACTGTTTTTGATTAAGAGCACCTCGTCGATGTCTGAAATATTTTTATCGTAACGATTGCAGCACGTTCATAATCTAAAATATGGGAAAGTCTTTCACGTCTTTTTTTTATGCAGAAATTTCGCTAATCTCCTCGAAAATTCAACAAGATCAGAGTTTGAGTTTGAATAAAATTTATAATGTCAAAAACGGCGTTCATCGCATTATTAGTATACTGTTTTGTGAAGTATGATTAAAAAGTTACAGAAACTGTGAAGTTCTTACGATTCATTTCATATTTACTAAACAGCGACTAGAAGTAGCAACATACCGCCTGATGAGATCAACAGCATCTTCGTATTTCATACCAGCCTCCATAAGCGCGATAGCTACAAGCACTGGAGCTCGACCCAATCCTGCTACACAGTGCACGGCAATACACTGATTTGGATATAGTTTGAAACTTTCTTTTGCTAAAGATAACCATTTGGTGATCAACTGAAAATGAACACTTTCATTAAACTACAAGAAAAAACGTCTTCGATCCGCTGGCAAGTTCATATACGAAACGCAATGAGTTCATCGTGATTTTACGAATTTGACGAAGCTATTAACTTCCCCTGTCAAATCAGCATTTGTCTGATACATGTTCAAAACGAGAACGAGTTGCGAAAGCCATTCAGAACGAGTTTGACGTAATAATATTCTACCAGAAGTTCATAAAATTAAAATCAAACAATTTGAATACATATCTATATTTGACCAGGAGCACGTGAGTTGCAGAGAGTCATATTATTTCCAGAAGATCAAATCATATTTTAGAACTTAAAAAAATCAACCCTTTCAATAAAAAGTAACCTCAGGAGGCGGTGCGCTACCATCATCGAATTCCCAATCGAGTACATCGATACCATTCACGATCAGTGGTGTCGTTGCGTATGTTGGTTCGCACACCCTAACTACTGCTCGCGCATTATGTTTTTCAAGTTCCTAAAAAGTTCGAAAATATAGTCAAAAAGCTTACTCCAAAGAATTTTATCATCTTCGATTTGTGAAAATGAGACTGGTAAATCCGAAATATTAACAAAAAGCAGAGATCAGTCATCTTCTGTTACTTTTTTTTCAGAATTCATTTATAACGATAAAGCATATTATTATTAGTTATTGCACTTCCAGCAATGTAATGCGAATAAAACTCTTTTTAGCAGTAATTACGACGACCATCATGTAAATCAAAGATCTTGATCCCTCTGTTAAAATCTATCCTTCCTGAACTTACCGTAGTTGCTAAATTATAAGAATATAGCATCAGCGTATAAACTATTAGTTATGGCTTGAATAAAGAGCAATATTAGCTTATGATTTGAATAAAACACATTTAAAATGGTTGAAAAAATAATAACTTCGATATAAGTGTTGATTGTTAAATCAGATGGTCGATCAGTGATTAAAAACCTCATTTTGCCATATTGAATTTCGCTAGGCGCTGGCTTAAAATATGCCGGAGTTGGGCGTCTGACAATTGATGACCCCATTCTCTTTTCTCCTGCTATCATAACTCACAATGGGCACCAAATTGCTATTACACGAAAAACGTTGCTCTTTCCCTTTCGAACTGTAAGAGTACTTACAATGAACTGTTATAATACCGATAACTATAATGAGGGCAGATGAAACCCGTAATAATATAAGGAATATAATAGGATAAAGGATTCATATGTGTAACTTATATATGAGGAAGCAACTGAAAAGTATTTCCGTTTACAATCATGCTTTTTCCTGAAAACACTGGTTCTCTTCTGGGATTTCTTCTCTTTTTTCAGAAGGGGAACTGGGAGAGAGAGGTGCCTAATAAGTTTTTGATCTATTAAATTTGCTTCCTTTAATAATAATAATGCACCTTATTTTCGAAGCCACACAGTTACCGAATAAATGATTCCACCAATAAATATACCTGAAAATAAAGCTGCACAGAAGTGACAGGCCTAATGTCCATTTTCTTCCAAAGAAATAACATGTTCAAGATCAACTTCAACGAATTCCCATAAGAAATGCATATCAATGATACTGCATTACCTGATGATAGCTGCAAAGACTAAAGAACATTAGATTGTACAAAAGAGGGAAGAATTTTCGATATCATTAACTGACAGCTGAAATTTCTGGGCTCCATAAAACGACCAATCATATTTATAAGTCATACTAAAGATGTATAATGCATCTTATTTAATATTTAGGCAAGTAATCCGTAAATAGTTTTGTAAGTAGATTAAATTCAGAAAAGCTGAGACAGAACATTACACGCAGCTACATTAATCTGATAGCTGTTTTGGAGGTTTTATGTTTGAAAACAATCAGAAGTTACCATACCGCAATTGCACGTTGATTTTCAGCACTTAAAGCAGTTCTCATTGAAAGATTTATTTTCAATAACAAAAAAGAGTTCTATTATCAATATAAATTTCAGGAATGCAATAAAGAATATCCAATACTTTCTCTTAGGATAGCAAAAAAAGTCATGAATATTATACAGATTTGGTGGCGTGGCGTCAGAATGAAACAAGTCATTTCTTCTTTCTCTACACCTTGTCTTTCAGTTATGGAAAAATTTTGGAAATGGCGGAGTGCCTTAGTTCCAACCCCAAAGCGCAGTTTCATTTCAATGAAAAATTTGAACTATGATATCAAGCAAATATATACACATGTAATAGTCCAGGATGAAAGAAATCAAATATCCGAACAACACGCGACAATCATGTAATAGTTGTAATAGTATAGCATTTATCACTCTTATGCTGCGAATGAAAGAGAGAGATAGAAGAGTGGCGAAGGCAGGTAAGAAAAATGTTAGAGATAAGGAAAGGATGAGGAGGGAAAGAACGAATATTCAAAGTTGACTTTTGTAGTAGTGCCGTGACCTTCAAGATTATATTTCCTCATATCGGTTGATCACTTATTTGAAATGGAATAGCAGTAGGTAAATCTCATACCAGTGATGTCATTTCGAAATGTATGAATACTGATTATTAATCACTTTCTAGTATGCCAATTTCTTCAATGAGAAATGATTCCATTCGGAATATTGAGCTTGGCTTCACATTTCATTAAGCTGTACTTGCCAACGCAACCAAATTTTCAGTTACATCTGCAGCTAGAAGAGTAATCAGCAAGGAGGACATGGGCCTTGTACGCCAACAGGTCATTATAATATTGTTTAAAAGGTTGCAAGTCATTAATGTGCCTGTATTAATGTTGTAAAGCTCTATCGTGGATATTTCGACATAGTAATTGCATTTATTTCCATAACGGTATTCCTCCTCCCACAAAAAATATTTCACTGCACAAAGGTTCAATTTAATTTCATGAATATTTCAGTTAAAGCGACGATTGCTCAATTAGTTGAATAAGTAGAACTGTCTTTCAAAGATCACTGTTTACATTGTTTACATTAACAGTTAATAACATAGAAGATATTGTTTGCACTTGTTGTAAACCTGCCTGTTATCCAAAATTCAGCTCACTTTTAAATGTCAGAACTTAATAAACTGCTGTAGAGAGACACTAGCCTCTGGCTGACACGAATGAAATTTTGGAAGATATAAGGCAAGGAATTAGGTCTCGAAGTACTTGGAAGTTAAGCGATGATGAAATAATTGTAGCTCTTTCCATCAAATTTTGCTGAAGTCTCTTTAATGATTTATAGAATGGGGATTAATGTTGATTAAGTCAATGAGCACTTCTTATCTGCATAATATTTCACACAAGGATGCAAGGACATTGATAATGCCTTAAAAAATGAACTTTAACCCATACCCACTACGGCAGAAGACAATAAGGAATGCATAATTCTGTTATTTGATGTGTAAAAGTATATGAAAAGATAAGCACAATTAATTCGGCGCATAACTGCAGCAGCAAGAAAGAAAAAGCTCAGAGCGAGTTGCAGATAGATGATGACAATAAAGATCAATTCTGATGGTCAATGTAATAGTCAATTCTAATCACGAATATTAGCGATGCATGAGCGGGCGGGTAGGCTGTTGTTAATAACACTTCAAAAAATAATTAGCAGTTCAATTATACAAAACTTAGAACATGATGTGATAACGGAAAGAGGGAAGCCTGATCAACTACAATTGCATATATAAAACTCAACTCCCGCTTTTAACAAAGATTCGTCTGCTTAAAATT